ACAAACTCTTCCAAACCGAAAAATATCTGCGCTATGAACAAGCAATATCTCAATTTGCTTGTGGTCCCTAAAAACAATATCACAACGTCACAAGTGAGATCTTTCAATCGTTTCTCCTATATAACAAGGTTAAATGAAGAGCAAATACAGATTTTTGCTACTGCTTTTCCGATTTGACTCCTGCTTCTCACATTTAAATAAAGTGAAAGTATGGAGATATAAAATAAATGTGAGAATTGGATGAGAAATATTTGAGTTCATATTGAAATTTCAGACTGTGATATCCTGGCAAATCTAAGTATAGTCCAAGACATGGTTGAAGACTTCTTCCTCTGCATACAAGACTTTACTCCATTTCATCTCCCTCTTCTCTAAAACAAAGATCTCATCCACGTCTCAGATTGAGATAATCACTGAAAATCTTAATAATCACTAGGGATGCACCGAAATGAAAATTCTTGGCCGAAGCCGAAACCGAACAAAATGAAACACTGGGCCGAAGGCCGAATACCGAACACGAGTTTTTAATGTATTTTTTATGTATTTTGCCCATTTTTTTCACTATTGCATAAATTAAATAGCCAAAATTAGCTTTTTACTGTTTTGTCTTGTTTTTCAAAGAAAAAATGTGATATCCTGGCAAATCTAAGTATAGTCCAAGACATGGTTGAAGACTTCTTCCTCTGCATACAAGACTTTACTCCATTTCATCTCCCTCTTCTCTAAAACAAAGATCTCATCCACGTCTCAGATTGAGATAATCACTGAAAATCTTAATAATCACTAGGGATGCACCGAAATGAAAATTCTTGGCCGAAGCCGAAACCGAACAAAATGAAACACTGGGCCGAAGGCCGAATACCGAACACGAGTTTTTAATGTATTTTTTATGTATTTTGCCCATTTTTTTCACTATTGCATAAATTAAATAGCCAAAATTAGCTTTTTACTGTTTTGTCTTGCTTTTCAAAGAAAAATCAATTACAAAACAACAATTTAAAAATATTTAACACTGAACATTCTTTTACATTCTAGCAGACATTATACCATCAAAGCACAATTTAACTTAAAATTTAAAAAGTTAGTAAAATAATATTTTTTGGCCATCAGACCCCTTTCTTGAATCAGGCATGTATTTTTTTTACTGTACAAATAAAAGCAGTCTTGCTGAGAAGAAGAGACTTCTTTTAAAACATTAGAAAATATTACAGATCCCAAACACTGTGTGTAAATGTTATAATAAATGTATTAACAGAGCTGTTGTAATTATTATCATTATTATTTTACAGGACAACAGTAAAATTACAATACTAACATTTATGAATGTT